ACTCTACTCCACTATTTAGCTGGGCTTTTCCTTCCAGTTCTTCAGAATACCATCCTTCTAACAGTGTGTCCAGGGACTTACCTCCATGCTGTAATGGGGGACAGTGGAACAGAAACAGAAGCACCATTTCTGAAGGTGTTTTGAAGAGTTCCCTTCTAGAGAAAGACAACGTAACCCAAGCTGGCCAGGCTGTTATGATCAGAAGATGTTACGAAACACCAAGAACCAAGGATAGTAATCCAGAGAAGTGAAATCAAGTCCCAAAGCCACTGAGAGAAGACTATTGGGGTGGATGGCACATGGTAAATTATGGACAAAATCTCCTGAGATAATGGCAAATAGAAATATTTGTAGTATATGCTCCTACTTGAAGTGTAGCTATGGTGTGCTTTGCTGTAGAGAGTAATGCCTCTGAAAGGTATATCCTGTAATCAGAGTGTTCGCCATAGTAAATTGGGACTGACGTTACAAGGGGTTATAAATACTCATATAAAGAGTTGGAGCCTGTTACTCTTTGCTAGATCAATGTAGTTGGATTTGGATCAATGTAGTTAAATCACCTTTCTCTAAAACATGGCAAAATTGTATTCTTTCTGGTGCAATAAAATCTGAGTCACTCTGCATTGGAGTTAACAACTTCGTCACTACTATGGAGAAGGAACTATAAAGAACAGATTCTTTCCAGCTGCTGGTTTTGATTTCACACACACGTTGCTTTTCAGTAACAACATACACGTGTTGGACTCTCAGCTGCTTTTCCCTCCTTCCCCTTAGACACGTATGAAGTTGAGAAGCAGGATGAGGTCAGTAACAGAAGAGAAGCCCTTTCAGGGTGGCCCAGCAACACCACTGCAGTGAGGGGTCTGCCATGAAGAATCAACCCATGAACTCCCAGACTATGAGCTGGTGGGGGCTGCATGGGTGGGGGCTGCATGTGCATACTCTAGTGACCAAGTTATGCTATTTTGGAGCACCCCCTGCTGGCCTCTGCAAAAACAGGCAGCAGTTAAGAGGGAGCTGCTAATGGATGCATGGAAACAAATTCTGATCATGGTTACAAGGGTTCAAAACCAGAGTAACTCCATTGAAATCTGCCCTGAATTTACGCCAAGGTTAATGAGAGCAGAATTTGGCATACTTAGACTTTTGGGCCCCGGGCCAAAGGTGCTGCTTTCTGGCTCTGTGGGAACAAACCCATCTCTGTTTAATAAAATTAAAATTTAAAAAACACTATAAACATAATATACACCATCTGATCCCTCCTCTTTACCAGAGGTGAAGGTAGACACGGCACCTGCCCCTGAATGCTTGCACAGAAATATCAAAAGGGATAGGAGAGAAGACCATCTAAAAACATTAATGATGGTCAGGACACAGAGCAGTAAAACACTCTGGAACATGGCTCTGTCTCTTCCTGTGGGTATTTATAGCAAGGCTCGCACAGTCTCCTGCTTGGACAGTTTACCCAGATTTCATCCCAGTGTTGATTGGAGCTTTTCTATATAGTCCAACTTTTGAAGCCAGGTTCTGAGCAGCAATAGTAATCCACAATTCTAAGCAAAAGGTCACCTGGAGGAGCCACACCACACATCCCCTTCCCACACCCACTGGAAGAGAGTACGAGCTCCGCCCAGAGCTGCCAGGAGAACTACAAGGGGAGAACGTCTGTGAGTGGGATGGGACAGGGGGCAATGAGCTCAGTTTCCGAGGGAGGGAAGTTCAGTCATGCAACAGTGACTCTTCAAGATGTCATTTAGGAGGGGCACTTGGTTGAAGCATCAAAGGCCCCGGCAGCCTTCGCCTCCCAGTTAAACTAGCGACTGCGTGACAGCCAGCAAAAGGGAAGGGAGTGGGGAGACCCTCTGGTGTCCCCGACAAGTTGTGCGAAGATTCTGAACTGAACTACAAAGATCACTTGATCTGTGGTACGTACATGGCCCCCAGGGTCCTAGCATCTGAGCACCTCCCAATCCTTAACAAATCTATCCTCACCACATGCTTATGAGGTGCTATTGTCCCCATATTAGGGTGGAGAACTGAGGCAGAGAAGTTATGACTTGCCCAAGGTCACACAGGAACATCTGCAGCAGAACTGGGAATTGAACCCAGCCCACCAGAATCCCAAGCTGGCACCCTAACCCTGGACCATCCTTCCTTGCGAACAGCTGAAGCTTCTCACAAACCCAGAACATCAAGGCATGGGCAGCTGGGTTAGGTCTAACTCCTACTAAGGCGACTGTGCTTTATATTTTCTGGATAGTAGTGTCAGCGTGGCCATGCAGAGTGGTTAAATACAAACAGCAGCAGGCATGTGGTGATGCTTTTCTCTGACAACTGTACTGACCAAGCAGGTTAAACCCAGAAGCAGAGCGTATCCATTTTCACCTGTGTGCCGTCTGAGCCAGACAAGATCTCCCATCTGTCTGAGCAGAGCCCGAGCATGCACTGCCCGGGTCCCATTATGAGGGACAGACAAGTTGTCCCCCACAAAAAAAAAGAAAAAGATAGGGGGAGGGAGAAAGATATCTGTGCTTAGCCCAAAATTTCCTTTCTTGTGCAGGAAGGTGCCACAGATCCATTGCATTGATCTACAGCCTGTTTGCAGCTCCAATGACAGAACAAAACTAGAAAGGACCCATGAACCTTCCTACGCAGAAGAATGTGTTAGACATTTTGGATATTAGGACTCTTCTCAAGGAAGAGCAATATGTTCTGCAGACTCCCCTGGCTCACAAGCTACCTATCATATCAGGCCTTCTTCAAAGGGCTTCTAGAACTTGGCTAGAAAGCCCCCTCTCCAGAAAACTTTCTAGAGACTCAGTATCACAGCTTGAATTTCCTCTGTTACAATGGCCTGATCTATAGACCTTCTAGCCTGATGAGAATGGCAAGGGAGGCAGCTCCCTGTTTTCCTTAGTCTATCCCCTACTCAGCAGTGTATAGTTTAAAGAGTTCTGGAATGCTTTGACTAGTGCTGTTGGACTTTTTAAGGAAGAATTCTTCTTAGTTAATTGCACACTTGCTGTTCCCTTGTTTGAACAAGGAATGCTCACTCAAAAGATAACAGCCAGCACATTTATAAGCTAGTACATAAAAAGGAAGTCCTTCAGACCCTGTGGATTCCATTGTTGCAAGAGGTCAGAGTCCAATTTTAAAAAGGGCTGGATAATTTTAACAACAGCTGCATGGTCACTGAGCTCATATCACTATGTGTACACTGATAGGAACAATTGAATCTCAAAATTTTAGGGTGTCAAAGGATTGCTGTGGGAGCCAGGGAGATTTTTCCACCGCCATGGAGAGCATTGTGCAAGTACCCAAGGACTTCAACCCTACAAGCTCTCAACACCCACTCATACCAGCCCCAGTTCAGCAGGACACTTGAGACTGCTCCTGAATTCCAGCACATGACAAGTCCCATGGAAGGCACTGGGAGGAATCATGTAATGAAAGTTAGGTATGTGTTTAAATATCGTGTAGTAATGGGGACTTCAATGAAAGCTGACAGTGCTTAGTGCTTGGGAAGTGAGAGGCCCAGATGCATGGGAAGGAAACAGCTGAGGTCTGAAGTATCACTGATCTGTTTTAAATCTATGAAGTGTCAGGGGTTATTTACTGGACATGGTGGACCACTGCTCTGCCTTTCTCTGGCAAATCCCTAGTAGTGTCTCATGCATTTACAGTCTGGGAATTGGTGGCTCTGCATTTTGAGCTCCATCCATAGAAAGTGTCCAAGTGTGTAAACTAAAACAAACCCCATTACTACAGCACAGAGACGGTAAACACAAGAAACACTGAATACAGCCAGTTACCTTACCACAGCAAGGGGAGTCAGAGTTATGTCTATAACATTGTCTCCTTAATCCAGTAGGGCCTACTGGTAATGAGATATGCGGTATCATGGCTTATTCCACACCCAGACAGTAACCGTGGACACAGGGTCAGGCGGAGGACATCCTCAGTTGTAATGTGCTATATAATTATAATAAAGTGTTATTACACTTGCTTCCACCACCTGCTCCCCTCCCCCCCACACACACACAAAAAGAAAATATCCAGATAATATTATAAATGTGAGGATGAACAAGTACATGATGCCTGCTACTGCATCCTCCCATTGGACTCACTGATCAAGCTCACGGTGAAATACGAGGGCCCAATGATTTATTTTGGTGACATGGCCATTTGTTTTAGGGAAATCAAAATATGCAGAAAACAGGAATTGTCCCTCCCTGCCCAAAAAAACGCCTCTTTTTGGAAAGCACAGTGTGCAACAAGACAGAATCCTGTGTGGGAATTAAATTAGTTTTGCTTTATTGTTCATTCTACTATGATGTTATAGAAAATAAAGGGATGAAGAGTCTGAAAATTTCACTCGATCAATCTGAAACAACGTCTCTCTGGCTCCATGTTCCTAATCTAGGCTGCTGTGATAGTATCTTACAAACTGTTTCTTACCATAATGTTCCATCATAATCACTCTATTGGAAACGCTCTATCGCAGGCCATCTTGGTATAAAACTATGGGGCAGTTTTAGACCTGACAGGACACGTCTGCAGGGAGGAGGAGGTTTCAGATAATCAAAATAACCTTTTTTGCAAAAAGGGAATAACATCTTACTCACACGTGCCGTTTTTAGACACAGATGCAAATTCTCACTCAGTTTCATAGAATTTGCATGCAAGTGCTGCAGTTTAACAGGTGTTGTTCAGACACTTGGGTGACAGCAAAACAAAATATTTTGATAAGATCAAAGAGGAAATCAAATGTGAACTGGTGCATTCAGTGTGGGTGAAATTCACCCTTGTAGAGAGAGCCAGCACAAAGCCTAAGCCCCATTTAAATCCCACGTAAGGCCTTAAGCTACCCAAATCGGGGCAGATCCTTGGCAAGTGGAAAGAGTCATAGCTCTAGCGAAGATGATTTACACCAACTGAGGTTCTGTCTCATCAGGTATTAAATATTTCATCGTAAAAGAGAATCAGAACAGTCAAAAACCTGGCATTACAGCTCTTTATTTCAGTGCCCATAACATACAAAGTGATGACTCACGTTTTTGACACTATAACATGCAAAGCACCTATAGGAGGAATAGGATACATCAGATGATTGCCTTGTTCTCTTGCTACATTTGTATCCAGTCCAGGCAGGAAGACTCAATATTCCTTTGCTTTCCGATCTATCCTCCCATGAATCAACCCAGCTGTGAGGTGTGATAAATTGTCTTCATTCCTAACCGAATGATTTGCCGCTAAGGTACTAGACATTGTTGAAAGCTTCTCCAATACACTTCTGTAAACTTGATCCAGGCCCCAATTCTGCTCTTGTTTACAAGGATGTCAATCTGGAGTAACTTCACTGATTGAAATTAACCTTGATGGGAGTTACTGTGGATTGACACTGGTTTAACAGAGCAGCATTTGGCCCAAAGGATGAAATTCACTCCTATGCAAAGGGCCAGAAAAAGCCCATGCAACACTTCTGTCATGACCCTCTGCACAGTGGGTAAATTTTACCCATGCAGAATAACTAGGCATTCTGTACTATTAAAAACCATGATGTAAAAAAACCAAAGGGGAGAAAATACAGAACCAAAAGGTTCCAATAAGGCATCAGCAGGTCCCAGCTGGATACGCCCTGGTTTTACATGCTGCATCTTTAATTTTTCCTCCCAGCAAACTAAATAAAAATAATACATTGTGATCACCTTTCTCCCTGCAACAAGACGCTGTCAGAGCAACCAGAGGGTTCAAGTTCTGTAAGATGTGTCTTTTTTGGTAAATGCTTCTTATAAAACAAAATAAAAATGTTAAAAGCAACTTCTATTCAAGTGACTCTTTTTTTTAAAAAAAAATGACAAGCGTTCCTGAACAATAAAAAATAGAGAATATAGTTTTTAAAAAAGACATTCAGTAGCACGTCAGCGGATCCCGAAAGACCTTCTGCCCCAACCTCTGCGACTGACCAGCTGCTCGTTAAGGCAATGTGTCAGGTTGGCACCATTACGACCGCTGTTTGGAAGGCAGAGAGCATCATGTGGCTGGACTGTGTCAGAGGGCCAGTTTCTCACGGGCGCTGACAGAACCATCTTCCATGCCAAAGTAAACCACGTCGGCCATGTTGATGAAGAGACCTGTCTCCACCACTCCTGGGAAGAGAACATTCACACACAGGTTACGGCTCGAACCATCTCTTATCTGCCAGGCTTACCCCGGCTGCTCTAATCCTCTAGAATTAGGGACTGTATTACTGATCAGGCATTCAGGCCAGACGCTCAGAAGGTATTTAGGCATCTAACTCCAATTGATTTCAAAGGGACTTAGGCATCTAAATACATTTGAGGACCTGGGCCTCAAAGTCCACTATGGCTTTACAAAATCAGTTTCTGTCCTGACAAGCTTATGACATTTATGCTTCCGGACATAAGCCAACCTAGAATTTGATGGGGGGAAGAAAGGGTTAAGAAAAGTTTCCCTATAGGCAGATTATCCCAGAATTCCCCACTACAGGATTTCTTACACCACCCGCTGGAGCAGCGGTACTGGCCACTGTTAAGGAGGGATGCTGGACTATATAGACCACTGAGCTGATCTGGAATGATCGTTCTTATGGGTATGAACAGAACATAGAGTGAAGTGCTTGCTAACACCCTGACTTTGCAACCAGCTCAGTGCAAGAGGACATCTGCACCCATGGAGAGCCCCACTAAAGCCAGTGGGTCTCTGTACTGGTGCAGGAATCCAGCTCTGTGGCCTTCAGAAGGATCGGGAGGGCTAAGCAAGTAGCCCCACAGCAGTCATTAAGCACCAGGGCCTGAAGCAAGCATTGCACAAACACACACCAAGCTTACACGTAACAGCAGGAGCGAGATATACAAGGGAAGGGAGGACAAGCGTGGCAGCAGTACTATCAGTGGGAGCTTTGGATGAGAATGCACGTCTTGATGGCTCTGTTTCTTTTCCTCTTCTACCTTACGAGCGACCACCCTCTTTGCAGCGGGGCACGTTTCAGAACAGAAAATAAAGGACTCACTGTCACAACAGAGACAAATGGCACAGGGTTTTCACGAGCTGCACGTGAAACCGGCAGGTCCCTGCTGTGCAACTCTAAATAGAGAGTGACACATGGCAACTTTCACCAGTTCATTTAGATTCGTTTGACTAGCATGGCTGCCTGGGGCTCAAGGCTGATATCAACTGGCTGCTGGAAACCAGCGCAGAAAAATATGTTCAGACACAGTGGAATGGTGAACGTCAAGACACCAGGTGGCATCCAATCCCCGCTGGAGTCAATGAGAGTTTTGCCAAGGGACGTCAAGGGGCACAGGATTTCACCCATTATTTTTAACTGTAATAAAACAATACAGTTGATCCATGTACAGCAAGTTACAGGGAGCAGATACAGGGTATAATTCACTTCCAGATCTTTCGTGCTGACTGCTCTGACACTGCACCTGCTACCCGGTGCTTTCCAGTCCAAAATCTAATCCTACGAGATTCCCCGGCGGTGAGAACTAAGGGTGCCCTGCACCTCGCAGGATCACAACAGAACAATTCCAGTACCCTGGATGAGAAGGGGAAGCTGGCGGAGCAGGGCAGGGCTTTTCATTAGGGGGGGGTAAGATCCGCCTATGGCTTAGCTTTAAGGAGGTGGCTCCCCCGTTTTGCCAGGGAGTTCTAGGTGCAGGGGAACATCGGAAGAGGCAGGAAGGTGAGAGTGAGACAAGACTACAAAGGGAAGTGGGGGCAGGACAGAAATACAAGGTGGCAGAGTAGTGCAGGGCACTGAAGCAAGGACAACAGTCTTAAGCTTAAGGCAGAAGCGGAGAAGCCAATGGAGATATTCTTGGAGGCTGGGAGGTGGAGGAAGGACGTCACACAAAGTCCAAGCAGTAGAGGGAGGCTATTTAAGCTGCAGTGGTTTGGGCAGACTGCAGGGGTGGGTCAGATGTTACAATGTGGAGCTCCTCCACGCAAAGCTAGGCTAGGAACCAGATTAGCAAAAAGCCATTTTGGTACGACAGGCGTAATCACTAGGAGACGAAGGATTAGGCCCTCAGACTGTGATTCCTGCAAACACTAAAAGGGGCCAGGTTTCATCATCGCTTTCTGCTCCAGGCCTCACAGCAGAGGCAGGTTTCTGCACTAGCAGGTGGCCCCTGATGCTTTCATAATCCAGTGCTAGCCTGGGTCTCACACCATCTATGGAGCAGCAAATGGCCAAACTCACCTGGAATACACTGGAATTGGAAAAGGTTCAGAAAAGGGCAACAAAAATTATTAGGGGTATGGAACAGCTTCCATATGCGGCAAGATTAATAAGATTGGCACTTTTCAGCTTGGAAAAAAGACAACTAAAGAGGGGATATGATAGAGATCTACAAAATCATGACTCGTGTGGAGAAAGTAAATAAGGAAGTGTTTACTGCTTCTCAGAAACACAAGAACTAGGGGCCACCAAATGAAATTAATAGGCAGCAGATTTAGAACAAACAAAAGGAAGTATTTCTTCACACAACACATAGTCAACCTGTGGATTGCCAGAGGATGTTGTGAAGGCCAAGACCATAACAAGGTTAAAAAAAGAACTAGATAAATTCATGGAGGATAGGTCCATCAATGGCTATTAGCCAGGATGGGCAGGGATGGTGTCCCTAGCCTCTGTTTGCCAGAAGCTGGGCATGGGAGACAGGGAATTGATCACACTGTTCATTCCCTCTGGGGCACCTGGCATTAGCCACTGTCAGAAGACAGGATACTGGGCTAGATGGACCTTTGGTCTGACCCAGTATTGCCGTTCTTATGCCCCAGAGCCAATTACTTCAGGGAGAAGGGGAGTCTGGGGTTTTCCCCACAAGGCTGCCACAACAAGGTGCGAGACTCTTAGGAGGTGTGAGATCAGATCATTTATAATGGTTCAGAGCACGAAAAATAAACCGGTAAGTGGCCCCTTTACAGAGATCACCCCCTCCCTCAACAGAACCGCTACTTAGTCCACCAGCAGCGACCAAGGATTCTCACCACCACCACCTCTGATGTAGATATGTCCATAGTTCCTGAGTCAGCAAAGTACGTAAGCACAAGCCTCACTTTTAGCGTGAGTAAGATCACTGACGGCAACAGGACTGCTCGTACCCTTAAAATTAGAGCCATGCTAAGTACCCTGCTGAATCAGGGCTTTAGGGAGGAAATCACAATAGAGAAAATTGTGCAGAGTGGTACACAGGGTTTAAACTATATGACCAAGATTTAATTTCCCCCTCCTTGATTTAAAAGGCAAGTTACTGGGCGCAATACAGGAGGAGCTAGATGAAATTCCCTGGCCTGTGGTTTGCAAGAAATCAGACTAGATGATTTAATGGTCTCTTCTGGCGTTAAATATGGAAAAGTATCTGAAACAAAGTCACCTGGCGACCAGTTGCATTATGCAGCGAAATAGCGAAAGCTGTATTTGTTACAACAGGCCTCCAGACTCCTGTTCCTGAACGACACTGCTGTGCTCATCCCGACATGAAACGAAATGAGCGGCATGTATTTAAATGGTCTCCAAACAGAGTCATGTTCACTTGCGGCACTGAAAGTCAGATGCATTCTTTATGGCTGGAGAAGTGTTAACACTGATACCGTGACCAAATGCCAGTAATCTACAATAGAAATTCCCCTGTAGCACCCTTTTCATCTCCTCCCTTCTATTGTTTAACAGCACCCAGCAATGCTATGTACAACAGCTGACACACCTTCCTCTAGAGCGGGCTCCATTCAGTGGCCCGTGGAAGTGATGCCGTAATTTGTACACCACTTTAATTTTGCTTTGGGAAGAAAAAGGGTTACGAAATGCAAGGCACCATGATTTTGTTGCCATTAAGGGTTTCAACAGCAAACATCAATTAGGATCCGAGTAACCTCATACCTCTTCCAGAACACCCCATTTCAGGACCACACGCTTCCTGGGTAAGGCCCCAAGGCTACAATACAGGGCCAGCAGGCAGGTTGTTACACTGGCCCATGCACAACACACTGCAAGACTGTGGACACTGTTTAACGTGGAGAAAAACACCCATGTGATGAAGAATTGCACCCAAGCGTACTTAGTATTTTCTTTTAAATAAAATATAAACTCTGCTGAGAGGTTTTAATCCGTAAGGGCCGGTTTTTTGGCCAACCTGAGCTCAGTTGTCCTTACTCCTGTGCAGAGCTGCCTACTTTGCTCTGAGACTTTTAGGGATGTTTATGGAAAAAATCAGTGACGTTGCTTGAATCATCAGCAAATGCCAAAGGTGTGAAGCCAAATACAGACAGGGGCTTGGGGATAGCACCTTGACCGCTTGGGCTGCATTTTAGATGTCTATGGTCTATGGCCAAGGGGGAGGCCTGGATGCCCTGCACCACCCCTCATTGCACCCTTGATCCCACCCCCGAAGAAGGAGAAGGGGAGGTCTGGACCAAGGAAAGCTGCCCTCCTATGCTGCTTAGGGCTCTTAGTTACCTTGGCCAGTTCTGGGCCTGAACCTTCTTCCCAAGATGATCTTCCTCCTCTTCCCCTCCTCTGTCACGCTCCTGCTCTCTTCCTCTGTTGTGTCCTCCTGCCCCTCTGGATTCTCCTCTCCCCAAGACTGCGCAGTGATGGTGTGACAAGAGACAAGCCGCAGGGATGGCCAGTGGGGCTTGGGGCACTGCTGGATTCACCACCCAAGACACAGACTATGTGTTATGCTCTAATTGCCCCAGGCAGACCCTACTGGAGCATTCTCGTTACTCAGCGCGCATTAGCGTTGTCCAGCAGGGCCCACCTGGGGCAGCAAGAGCAAGGGGGCAGCAAGAGCAAGAGCAGCCTGTGGCTTGGGCAGTGAACCCAGCAGCACCCCAACCCCTTCAACATGGCTCGCCTCCTATCAGAGCCTCACTGCGCAGTTTGTGTATGTGCCACAAGGTGGTGGAGAAGAGCTCCCCCAGCCGCAGCGGCACTGTTCACTGTGCTCCTCGGACCTCAGTGGTGGTGAGTGACCTGTATGCACGCGCGCGCACACGAAATTGGGGATTGGTCCTGCTTTGAGCAGGGAGTTGGACTAGATGATCTCTTGAGGTCACTTCCAACCCTGATATTCTATTCTATGAAATACACGCGCACTTGCAAAATTAGTTGATTTAAGCCTGAATTACGAATTTTGTAATTACATGTAAAACCGGGAAGATTATGGAAAATTAGGGAAGGCTAGCATCTCTGCACAGCACGTTTCCTCACAAGTATGCCACACATAACGAGTAGGGCTGCAGAATCGAGTTTACTTGTGTACCATCTCAGACAAAGTTTGTTTTGAAAAGATGAATGAAACAATGCTGCCACCTGGTGGATGATCTCAGAACTAAAGAGATCACCTTTTTTTTTTTTTTTTTTAAATAAGTGTAATTTAAGTCAGAGGTAAAAGCAGTCGACCTTCTTACTGGGAGTTGAAATATACAAGTTTTCTGTTTTATTTTATTTGACCAACAAAAGCTCATCTGACTAACCCCTTTTTGAGCTATACAAAGGTTAAAAAAAAAAAAAAATTCTCTTCCCAAAATTAAATCACTGCCCGAAGATCTATGGCCATGTCTGCACTGCAGATGGGAAGTGGAATTCCCAGCTCACGCGGATGTGCAGGGGCTAGCTTTGATCGAGCTAGTGCACTAAGGCCTGGCCTACACCGGGGTGGGGAATCAATCTGAGTTACGCAACTCTGGCTATGTGAATAACGTAGCTGAAGTCGACGTACTTAGACCAACTCACCGCAGCATCTTCACTGCGGTGAGTCGACTGCTGCCGCTCCCCAGTTGACTCCGCCCGGGCCTCTCGTGGCGGTGGAGTACAGGAGTCGACGGGAGAGCGCTTGGGGGTCGATTTATCGTGTCTTGACTAGATGTGATAAATCAACCCCCTGCCTGCCGATCCGGCGGGTAGAATAGACGTACACTAAGAGAAGGACTGTGGCTCCGGCAGCGGCGACTCAGACGAGACACCGGAGTGTGTACCTATGATCTTAGACGGGATCGTACCCTGGCAGCTAGCCCATACCGCCCCGGCCCCAGGGCCACGTTTCCCAAACTAGCGTGTGTATGTCTACCAGAGCCGGCAATCACACTCCCCAGCTGCTATGCAGACGTACCCTACACATGACAGCCCCACTTGTGACTTCTTGGCCACTGCAAACCTTTATAAAAATAAGGGTGAGATTTTTTTTTAAAAGCACCTAAAAGTGACCGGGTCTACATAGATTTTGTATCTGTATAACTGTGTCGGTTGGGATGAGATTCTTTTACCAATAGTTTTACCAGTGCAGCCTCCAGCATGGATACTATTATACTGGCACAGCTTATTCCCTTCTGCATGGGAATAGCTACGCTGGTAAAAGCACCTTTACACTGGTATGAACTGCTTCTACCCTAGGGGGATAGGACCACTGGAACGACCCTGGTGAAGTTAGAGCCCTCCTGCATGCATGCAGAAAAGCCCACTTAGGGGCACAAGTCACCCCATCTCTCAATGGGGCTTCGATGCTTTTGAAAAATCCCACCCCAAGAGTCCATCAACGCTGCGATGAGGAGCTCCTACCTGAAGCAGCACAAAGAGCATTTGAAAAAGACTAGGATCTAGTTCTCCTAAAGAAGTGACAGTGGTGTAAAGTCAATGGCATCGATGGACACTAATGTAATTGACATCTGACCACTCAAGATACTCAAGCATTTGCTAACTTTAAGCATGCGAGTAGCACCATGGTATTTCCATGCTTAAAATTTAGGCAAGAGTTTATGTATCTCACTGAATTAGGATCTTAGGACTCATCTGGACTAGAAAGTTTTGCTGTTTTAACTATATTGGGATAGTTAAAGTGACAAAATCCCATCCAGGGTATACACAATTTTACACCAGGATACGTACGCTTATGCCAGGATAACTTATTCCAGTTCAGGAAGCAAAATATACCATCCCTAACCAAAAGAGTTATACCAGTATAACTTCATGGACTCCGATTCTAAGGCTGGAAGGGACCATTGTGGTCATCTCGTCTGACCTCCTGCATTACACTTGCCAAAGAACTTCCCCAAAGTAATTCCTAGAACAGATCTTTAAAAAAACAAATGAACGAACAAACAAAAATAAACACCCAATCTTGATTTCAAAATTGTCAGTGATGGAGAGTCCACTGTGACCCTTGGTAAATTGTTCCAATGGTTCATTACTTTCACTGTTAACCACTGATGTCTTATTTCCAATGTAGATCAGACCTCAGGAACTCAGGGATTTTTTAATCTGAGAGATTACCTGGTATCATTTTTATAGCTGTGTTCACTTCGTTCCACTTGTGGACCTTGTCAAACTTCCAGTCCAATATGAAATTCCCATTATCTGTCACCACGGGACCCTAGGCAAAAAGATGAGTTGTTAACTACCTTGTAAGGATTTTTTTTTTTTTTTTTTAAACTCAGACACAAAATTGGCTGCCCACACAGCTCTCCACTAGAAATAAATGTCTCAAACAGAACATATAAAATAAAGAAAATTGCTGTTATTCAACTGTGTCACTGCCCCACTCATTGTTTTGCACCAGGTGGGGAGGACAACAACAACAAAACACACACACAGAGCTATCCAGTTTATATCAAAGCATGTGGGTCTGTGGACTGTGGAAAGCACCTGGACACCTTGGTGAATGTGGGACTAAAAATGTATGTACTTGTGAGATGAACCTGCTCCCACTGCATTCAATGGCAAAATTCCTACTGGCTTCAGCAGTGCAAGAATAAACTGCTATTACACACATGGCATTTAGTCATATTCTACACAGAGGCTGGAAGACACAGCCCTTAATTAACCAATTTAAGCATGATAAGGGGATGCTTTTCATAGAGTAACCCATTTTGGTACCCTAAAAGAGTCTGTCCTTGGCCGTTAGAAGAGCTTCAATGCAAAACACCCCCACTACTTCTAATACTGATACCAAAAGGTGCGAACGGCGACCATGAGAGGAGTCTTGGAGCCAAGGACAATCCCTTCATTCAGGCCAACGGACATGCCGACTACTTTCTCCGGCCCAACAGAAAGAGCAAATAAGTCCGTTCATGTAGTGAAAACAGCGAGGGGCTGTGGCACTAGACCCCATGACATGTCAGTGCTAACCTTTGTGGAGGGGTTGCCCTGTTTGCAAACATGGGTGCTAACATCTTGGTTTGCAGGAGAAGTGTGATCCTGAGAGGAAGAAGATGGACAGATCTTGGGCACAGAGGTCTTTGGAGCAGCTGACTTGGGCATTCCAAAGGACATCACCTGCTGCTGTGTTCAGGGAAACAGGACTTTATTTACAAGAAATGTCCACAAACAAGATGACTTCAAGAATAGACCTGACTCATCTCACAATTTCTCATCCTAATGGAAACAAGCCTGCAAGGCACCAAATACTGGAGAACAGATCAGGCCAAACAGGAAACAATACATGATATTAAGCACTATATTGCTCTTTTAATCCTCACTCACTACTTCTCACAAAGCACCTGTTAAGTAGGCAAGTATTTTACAGATGAAGAAAGAGAGGACCAAAGAAGATAGGTGATATTCCCAGAGTGGCACAGTTGAGTCAATGGCAGACCCTAGGAGTCTGGCACAGATTAGGGCTTAAATTCAGCTGGAGCCATCCAGAGCAGAGTCAGTAAATATTTTCAAGCCCACAAGAGCCCTGGGGCACCCACTGAGGGGCTGAAGCCTCAAGCACCCCGCGGTGGGACTGAAGCCGCCGCCGCCGCCCCCCCCCCAACACACAGCCCGACCTGCAGCTGAAGCCCAGAGCCCTGAATGGGGCCGGGGACCCTCCGGGAAGCCCTGGCACAGATTAACCAAAATGCCGTATGAACAAAGTACTTTGGAAATTCATCTCTTAGCAGTCTTATGAAAATAGTACTAGCACTGCCAGGGTGCTCCTGTCCACTGGATTTCTATAGATACATCACAGCTAAGAAAGTCAAAGAAGCTGCATATTAGAGCGGAAAGCTGTGCAATCCCTGATGCAAAGAATCCTATGGAACTGAATATTCAAAGTCATTATTCTGAGTTTCCCCATAAGGTAAGTATTAAAAACTAGAGGGGGATTTTTCAAAGTGCTTTGTAGAGAGACATGTGGAATTAGCACCACAAACATCAAAGGAAAGTCACATGGGGAAACTCTCAGCACGCCACTTGGAAACATTTATTTCTCAATATGTAAAGATTTGTCTGTATGGCAACAGGCAGAGCTGACTGTCATATCCACTGTCTGAAAATCTGGTTTCAACAGAACTCAGCTGGTTGTCTGAAAGAGAGAGATAATAGCTATGTCTCAAGGGTTGATTTTTCAAAAAAACAGATGAGGATACAAGTCTTGTGACGTTACTTTACTCTTGGAGAAGATCAGCATGAGGAGTTCTGACCAGCAAAGGAGAGCAAAACATTCCAATACAGTCTTAATTTCTTAGCAATAGACTAACCGTGGAGAGTTACTGCATGCCTAATGGTCCTTTCTAGTTTACTGCTTTGGAGAGTGGCTGTGAGGACATCTGCAGTCTATGAAAGGATACAGACAGAGGACATTAAACCTCTTCATCACCATGTTCCCACCGGGGCTGAGAGACCCTGCTTGGCCTGAAGGTGAAGAGAGACACACCAGCCATACCTGACCTTCCTGAACCCTAACCGCTAAGCGATTCCTCATCAGTGCTCTCTGGGATCTTGTCACTCATATACACCATAAGAAGATGGATACAACTCAAAAGTCACAGAACAATACAAAACCAAGAGCCTAATCCATAGCCTACTCAGCCAGTGGAAGGACTCCTATCGCCTTCATCTGAGACTAGATTAGGCCCTTCAGAGCAATACTACACCCATGAGTAAGATTCCTCATGGATGCATTAGCCCCATGATCAAAACTTAGGATTTCCCAGGATTGTGGCCAGGATGATGTTATTAACCTATGGCTGTCATAGAAAGATTTTTTTACTGTATTTTGGTAACAGCAACCTTCTTCTTAATACACCTAGAATAAAATTTAACTACCACCACATATAATCTCGGTCCTCCCGGCAGAGAGGTAGAGAAGAAGGAGAATACAAGAGTTAGTGCATTAGTCTGGGACTTGGGAGACCTATGTTCAATGCCCTGCTCCATCACAGACTTCTTGTGTGATCCTGGGCCAGGCCTCTCTGTGCCTCAACTCCCCATCTGTACAACGGGGATAAAAGTACTTAAAGAAACAGATTTCTGCAAAGGTAAAAATAGGGACTTACATCTTCAAAATTTTTAAGTACCTCCCTTTCCAGGTGCCCAATTTAGAATGTAAAAATGTAAGGCTGGAATGCACCTCCAAAGATCATCGAGACCTTTGCACGAAGGCAGGACTATGTAACTCTACACTGTTCCGGACAGGTGTTTGCCCAACCTGTTCTTAAAAACCTCCCATGATGGGAGCTCCACAACATCCCTTAGAAGCCTGTTCCAGCTCTTAACAACCCTCATCATTAGGAAGTTTTCATACCATCGAACCTAAATCTCCCTTGCTGCAGATTAAGCCCGTTACTTCTTCATACCTTCAGTGGGCATGGAGAACAACTGACCACCAAGCTCTTGATAACAGCCTTTCATATATGTGAAGACTTATCAGGGTCCCTCTCTCAGTCTTCTTTTCTCAAGATTAAACATATCTAGTTTCTTTAACCTTTCCTCAGAGGTGAGGTTTTATAAACCTTCTACCATCTGTACTGCTCTCCTCTTGACTCTCTCCAATTTGTCCACATCTTTTTTAAAGTGTGGTGCCCAGGACTGGACACAGTACTCCAGTTGAGGCCTCACCAGTGTTGAGTAGAGCCAGATAGTTACCTCGTATTACATACAACACTCCTGTTAATACACCCCAGAATATTAGCTTTTTTCACAACTGCATCATGCTGATTCATATTCAGTTTGTGATCCATTAGAACCCCCAGATCCTCTTCAACAGGGAGGGATAGCTCAGTGGTTTGAGCATTGGCCTGCTAAACCCAGGGTTGTGAGTTCAATCCTTGAGGGGGTCATATATGGATCTGGGGCAAAAATTGGGGATTGGTCCTGCTTTGAGAAGGGGTTGGAATAGATGACCTCCTGAGGTCCCTTCCAACCCCGATATTCTATGATTCTATGAACAGTACTACTGCCTAGCCAATTAAACCCCATTTTGTAGTTGTGCTGCCGATTTTTCCTTCCAAAGTGAAGTACTCTGCACTTGGCTTTACTGAATATCATCTTGCTGAATTCAGATCAGTTCTCCACTTTGTCAAGGTCATTTCGAATTCTAATCCTGTCCTCCAAAGTGCTTGCAACTGCTCCTAGCTTGATGTTATCTGCAAATTTTATAACCATATTCTCCACTCCATTAGCCAAGTCATTAATGAAAATATTGAGTAGTACGGGACCCCACTAGATGCGGCCTCCCCATTTGACAGCAAAACATCAATAACTATTTGATTATAGTATTTCAACTAGTTGTGCACCCACCTTACAGAGATTTCATCTAGACCTCATTTCCCTAGTTTGCTTATGAGAATGTCATGTGGGACTGTGTCAAAAGCCTCACTAAAATCAAGATACGTCTAGTCTACTGCTTCCTTCTTAACCACTAGGCCAGTAATGCTGTCAAAGAAGGACATTAGGTTGGTTTGGTATGATTTGTTCTTGACAAATTCATGCTGGCTATTCCTTATTACCCTTTTATCCGCTAAGTGCTTACAAACTGATTGATTAATAATTTGTTCCAGTACCTTTCCAGGTATCGAAATAAAGTTGACTGGTCTGTAATTCCCTGGGACCTCACCCGTCCTCCACACGGTCTCGAAGATAATTGCTAACGATTGCAAAATTGTCTCAGAGGGTTCCTTAATTATACTAGGATGAATTTCATCAGGCGCTGCCTATTTGAGTACATCTAACTTTTCTAAATATTCTTTAACCTGTTTTCCCCCCTATTTTGGCTTCCCTATTATTCCTTCTCCCTTTTTTTTTATATTAATTGTGTTAAGTATCTGGTCACCATTAACCTTTTTAGTGAATAATGAAACAAAATGGTTATTAAACACCTCAGTCTTCCTGATGTCATCAGTTATTAGCTCTCCTTCCTCACTAAACAGAGGATGGACACTTTCCTTCAGCTTTCTCTTGCTCCTAATGTATTTAAAGAACCTCTTCTTATTGCCTTTTAGGTCTCTTGCTAGATGTAACTCATTTTGCACCTTAACCTTTCTGATTTTGTCCCTACATACTTGTGCTATTCTTTTGTACTCCTCTGAGCAATTTGTCCATATTTTCGCTTTTTATAGGATTCTTTGTTGATTTTCAGGTCTTTAAAGAGCTCCTAATGAAGCCATTGGCCTCTTACTAGTCTTCCTACCTTTCCTTCATAGCAGGATAGTTTGCTGTTGTGTCTTTAATACTGTCTCTGAGAAACTGTAAGCCCTCTAGAGCTCCTTTTCCCTCTGAGATTTCCTTCCCATGGGACCTCGCCTACCTGTTCTCTACGTTAGTTCAAGTCTGCTTTTTTGAAGTCCAATGTTCTTATTCTGCTGCTCTCATTCCTTTCTTTCCTTAGAATCCTGAAATCTATCACTTCATGATCACTTTCATCCAAATTGCCTGGAACCTTCAGATTCACAACCCATTCCTCCCTTAGTCAGAATCAAGTCTGAAATGGCTGTGCCCCTTGGCACTTCCGCCACTTTCTGAAACAAAATGTTGTCTCCAGAAATGTATGGAGCATTCATTGTGTTTTTCTGTACTATTTGAAACACTGTAAAGGGGCCTGAGTTTCAGAAGGGAATGCTCAGCAAGTAGATGCACAAAGTCACTAGTCACTTTTGAAAATTTAGGCCAAGAGGTTTTTTGTTCTTTTATATATACTCAAAAGCACAAACCATATATTTGCACAGACATTATCCGTCACATTTCTGTTTTGCCACACGCCACGTACACCCATCTGGGGGAGTGGCCTTCTTCAGAGACCTTTGATCATACTGACCGCTTTACGAACAGCCATCCTCAGCTCAGCAGCGCCACCAAACTTCCTGGTCAGAGCTCTGATGACTGGGACGTAAGCCATTGGGATGACTTCAATGGGGATTCCTTTCTTCCATTGCTCCCCAAGGTTCTTAGAATTTTTTCTACAGGTAATTTGTTTTAAACAGGATTAATATTAACATTACAGCATCTAAAATATTATAATAAATAATAATAATTATAATTATTATTATTAATACACTCACATATAAAGCCCCAAAGGGCACAACATCCAAGTCCTTTAGGGGGAAATTCAGAGGAGCAGCAGAAAGCCTCGTGCTCCATTCAAATCCTCCTTAAGCCTTTTTTGAGACAGATTCATATGTCTTAAAGTCAGATGGGATCATTAGATCATCTAGCTTGACCTCCTGTATAGCACAGGCCACAGGAGTTCATCCAGTTACCACCCAGCCACTTGTGCAGAAAGACTGCAGGTTAATTTTCTATTATCCTACAGATGTAAGCAGAGGGGGAAGTTAGCCCAAGAACAGATGATGATGCCCAGTCAAGTTGGAAAGCTGGCAAGGCAGCTGGGCATACCCACTCCCAAAGGCACGGGTCCAGATAAATTCTGAAGCGAGCACTTTCTGCAATTTGGGAACTCTGGGATTTTGCAAATTAAAAAACAAAAGTCAAATTCAATTAATGAGGTGTCAGCAGAGCTGGGCTTACTTAGACCTGGTTCTGCTCCCATTGACATCAAGGGCCAAGCGCCCACTGACGGCGTTGGAAGCAAAATAATGGGCTCGCTCATTATGAACTCACATATTTAGCTATGGCTGAATTTGGCCCTCTGTCTCCACCTTGTGGGAATGAAGTGCAGTACATATTTTACCTGTAGTCAGCAACAACGACGAAGCATTTTGCATAGCCTGCTACTATCTTTTCCTGTGTCAAGCACCCTCTGTGAAGAAAATTAAGAAGTAAACATATTAAACTGGCCTTGTCATGCTGGGTGGGCCACGGGATGACAGCATCCCTCACATTCTCCCCACTCATTCTGGAGATTGTTTCACCCCCTCCCCCTTCCCATAAATCTAATGTAAGTTAGTGCTTGTGAAAGGTACCAGACTGATAGCCATGGTCACTGGGGAGATGGCAATCAGCCAAGCACACTAACAAACAGAGTCTCTGGGGGACTTAGCACAGACACCCATGACATAGAAGACTGCACTCTTTCTACCTCTACAGGTGGTCCAATCAGGCCTAGCGTGAGGCACAGTGGTGGACAGGCCAATATTACTATACCTACTGTGTGGATACCCAGGGTTGTCAGCCTGGCACCCTTCGAAGCACTGAATTCACATGGAATCCCAAAAACACAAATCTGCTCCTGACTGATCTGCGTGAAAGGATTAAGAACCTTAGCAAAGCCACAACCCAAAGCAATCACTGCTTCTATCACTAGATGCCGATGCTGCTCCTACTCCCACCCCCTACTCCATTTTGGATATTGGATTATAAACTCTTCGGGTCAGGGATTGTCTCTCACTAAGTTTTTAGACAGAACTACACACAGTGGGGCCCTGATTTCAGTTGAGCTATACTACCATAAGAGAAACATTTCTAACAACACCAGTAGATTAATCTATTTGTTTAAGCCTGGCTGCAGCACTGCAGCTGTAAGCAGACACAAGGCGGCATTGCTTACCCGCCACCTTTGATAAGACTGAGGTCAGAATCCACTTCGTCAGCTCCGTCAATGGCGACATCAAGCTGTGGGAAAAGAAAACATGGCTTGGAAACCTTGGGAAACAAATGTGTTGGTCATGAAAGGCGGCATGAAGCAGGCACCTGCTGTTTGCACAGCTGCACTCAGCCCCACAACTCATGCATCCGCTAAGAGCTGTCCACGTTTTACTGCGCAGAAAAGTATCCTAATGCCAGCAGGAGGTCCGATGCTACATGGAGAGTCTAGTCAACACCAGCCTGAACCCAAAATACTGTTGGAAACAATCACTGATTTCTAGAAGGCTTGATGAGTACATCGAAAACTAGCTCTGGATAGACTCAAGGCCAGATGACTCAATATAATCGTCTCTTGAAAACAATTACACAGAGATACACAGCCACAGATAAACAGCAAGCAGCCAGCAAGTCCAGCTATAACCTACACACCACGTCAAGCTGCTGATCTGGTCTAGTCTTGTTAGACAAGTAGGGACAGTGTGTGAATGGGAAACTCCCAGGGAAAATACAGGGAAATAGTGCGGGGGTGACTTCAGCAGCTAGCACTGTTCACTCCAGATCAGTGCTGAACTGATACGCAGCGTGGAGCAGGGAGGCTGGGCTGCGAACGGTGCCACTGAACCTTTACCCAGGGAGTGGCTGTTAGCGCCCTGAGTCCTGGCCAAATTCCATCATGCAATGTCTGGCCCTTCTAGTTTACTTCATTTTGTGTTTGTTCAGGATTAGGGGGTGGATTTAGTGCTCATGAAATCGAGGGGTCAAACAAATCGGCCAGAACAAGCTTCTTACAGCTCAGGTACTAGATCTCCACTCTAACCTGCACACCTTCTTTTAGTCCATCCCTGGCTCTCTCCTGAACACAGACCCTCAGCCGGGTTGTGGTTCTGCACTGTGAGCAAACTAGGACTAAAACACAGCAGGCTCATTTCCACCTGTGCCCTAGCTCACAGTCCAAACCCGGGTCCCGAGAGCCAAAAAGGTGAGGGTTGTTATCTCAACACACCTGCCAGAAGCGATTTCATTTCTACAGTTCCCTTACCTCCGGGTGCCTGTCCAGGTCACTTAGGCTTAGACCATTCTGGAGGATCAACTGACGTGCCTACACAATGAAAACAACACAAACATTTTGTTGATAATTAAAAGATTCTCTAAAAGCTGCACAAACAGCTCAAACTCCTTTTGTCGGTGTCCCAACTCCAAAGTCTGACCAAAGAGATGGCTTGGGCTCTCCAGTCTCAGCTTCCAAAGGCATCTTGTCCTGCAGCAGGAGAACCAAGTAACAAGGAGAAGTCTCCTTTGCTAGTTAGAGACTGGCATTCTGTAACAAAGGGTATTACCGCTGCTTTGAATTGCAGTGGCGGGGCTGTATGTTAGGGTTCCTGGTTCCTCCTCCTGCAGGGCACAATCAGTTCCCATTGACTTCAGTGGGAGTTACTTAAATCCTACAAGATCGGGGAAACACTAGCCTCCTGGGTTCTACATTTGTCTCTTCCACAAACTAACCCACTGTGTTACCTTGGACGAGTTGCTTTCTCTCTCTGTGCTTCAGTTCGCCCCCCTCTGTGCAATGGGGGTAGTAATATTCACCATTCACCCCATAGAAGTGCAGAGAGGGTTAACGGTTGGAAAATGCTTTTTGTTGCTGCATGAAAAATCATTTTTTCTTTTAAAAGAGAAATTGGGGGGTGGCGGGGAGAGAACCAACTTCCCTGACAAAGACTGAGGAAGTCTCCTGATTCTGTCATGCTTTGCAACGATGAGTCTAACTCCCCCAACGAAGAGTGGATTTCTATCCCCTGTGCTGGCTAAACTGTATAGATGTTTAGGAGTCTGCTGCATCCCTTTAATTCAAGCAGAAGAGGTTCTTGCTTATAGATCCAAAGGTGCCAGTTTCAACCCTCATCCAGGGAGGTGTTATAGCAAGTTACATTACCTGAGCCAAATTCATCCCTAATATAACTTCGCTCCAGTCAAAAGCTCCTGGCACACTTTTGAGTATTGTGTAAAACAATGGCAACACCAGGGATGTATCCGCCCCCCTACTGCTGACACGTCCTACTATTTAATTTTTGTTCTTTTGTACCGAGGCGAAGACACATCTTTAAAGAGCTCCCTGATTTTACTCTCTGTTTACTAAAATCTCTAATATTACAGTGCGGTTTCCCTTTAAACATTCTAGGCCAGATCCTAGGGAAGTGAAAGAGGCAGTGGAGTTCCACTTCAGTCAGTGGAGCTACACCAGCTGAGGACCCGGATCTCTGCATCTGCCATGCAGGCAGGTCTCAGGACACGACAGCATTTGGGGGTTACTCGCGCCGATGGGACGGGGAGGCTGGGTTCACAGAGTCATAAGCAAGTGCAGAGTTCTCATGACCAAGAGATAAAGCAGCAGTAACGATATGGCTCCTGCACATACGTCAAGGATTAGAATGAGACGTTCCCTATAGGTACATGAAGAAGGTTCCCTAAGTGTAGCAAGACACACATGGAACTGCCCAGCACTTGGAATCTCACTGACACACAGCCTGCTTTGGCTCTACAACTGCTTTAATTAGGCGGAACCCAGAGCTCTTCTCAGTATTAGATGGAAACCTAGTTTGTTGCCAAGAAACAGCCCTGTTGCTAGGTTATAACCCCCTGGGTGGCTACCCAGATGATCAGTACATGCACAACTCAAGAGGAAAGGGACACAGATACACAGGGCCGGTTTCCAATCTCATACACACAGGTTTGGCTCCGCTGACTTCAAAGGATTTACACCAGTGGTGGGGTGGGGTGGGTTTGAATAAGGCTCACTGACACGGATTCTCCTCTCCCTTACACCTCATGCAGTTACGTGCACCCAGGGGAAGCGGAAGTAAGATGCTGCCACACTGATCTGGTGGTGTTTAGTGCTAACTTTGCATAAGGTGCCAGGCAGCTAGGGAAAATCTGTCCCCATGTCTCAAGGTCTCAGATCACCAACCTGAACAGGCTCCTCGGTACAAACCTAGTGTCCAGGAACTTGTCGAACATTTTTTATTGTTAATTCTACTGTGTAAATCAAACTCCATTGGGGTGAATGGTCATAATCATTTCATAACAGATCTGAATTTAACTACACACATAGGGCCAAATTTGCTCCTATAACAACTCTCCTGGAGTCAATGGATACACACCAGGCATGAATCCCATCCTGCAGGACTTTCTCCTGGCATTTACCCTTATAACTCCCCAAAGCAATCTCTTCATCTTGAAGGTACACGGGAGGGGAAACAGAAGTCAGCTTCTCCCTCCCTACTTCTCTATGCTAGATAACTCCTGTACTAACTCCTTAGCTATCCATAGCCAGGAAGCAGAAAGGAGAGTTTTGTATTAAAATATGATGGCACAACATTTAAAGTAGTGCCTAGAGTCCCCCAACTGAATTTGGGGCCCCATTACATTAGGCACTGTACATACACACAGAAAGAGACACACTCTGCCCTGAAGAGCTTGTAGTCGAAAGAGACAAAGTGTGGGAGGGGAAACTGAGGCACAATGGGGTGAAGTGACTTGCTCAAGGTCACACAGTAGGTCAGTATCAGAGCTGAGACTAGAACCCACGTCTCCTGGCTCCCAGTCCAGGGCTCTATTGGCTAGACCTCCTTAACATATGCATATTAGCATCCGAGTAACAGTGAAAAAGAAAAGCCTATGATAAAAGACAAGTGAGTTGAACTTAGAATATTGTGCCAAGTAGTAGAACTACATTAGTGTAATTAGTTTTCACCTAAGATAGGAAAAGTAGTATCTGGTCTCAGTGCAACCCACATGGTAAGGCCAGCTACTGTATGCCTTACTGTCCCCTTCCCATTTCCCCCAGGCAGTCGTGTGACACAGCATGCTTTCTCCCATGAGCAGGGTCTGCATTCGATTCAGCTACAACTGTGCAACACGGTTCACATCGGTAAGCAGAAAGCAGTAAGAAAAGTTCAATCACCAATACTGGAATGAACACAGAGAATTACAGCGTGTCTCTCCTACAATTCAGAAAGATCTTGCTCCTTACTAATGAAAGGCCAATTTTCCCAACTGTAATGTTCCACCTAAAACCACAGCGCAGCCTCTTACAGCCACACTTCACACCGGTGCACTGAAGAAGGCTGAACACATTCATTTTCAATTAATTATCAGCGTGAAGAACTAATATGGTTGAGTTCAAAAGAAATTTACCCATGTTTCTAGTTAGATCATATATAGATGGGACAAGCGTCAGTGTTACCATTTTAGGGAAATTAAAGAGACAATATCAATTAATAAATAAAGTCACTTCCGTCTGAATTTTTTTTCAAATATATGGTTGCATATAACACCCTAGATCACTCCAAACGAAAGAGTACAGAAGATATTTTTTTTAAAAAGAAAAAAGTAATTACTTTGTGTATTTGGCAGCATTTTGTGTATAGAGTTTATATTTCACTCTTTCAATTAACATTATTATTAATTATCTATATTACAGTAGCACGATTGTGTCCCCACTCTTGCGAGGCGCTGAATGTGACACTTCTCGGGGCACACATCTTGCAACGATGATGAGTATTGGTAAATTCCACGCTTTCAGTAGAGACCTCACGTGCTACATTTTATGGATAAATACCATGAAAAGAGTGTATTACGTATAATGAGTTTATCAGATCTGAGACAGGAGTTTCTCATAACAAACACTGAACCCTTTGCTAGTTGGCACCAATGGGTCTCTGTGTCACACTGAACACACACATAGCAAGAGAGTGCCCCTGCCTGAAAGAGCTTGCGATACAGACAAGACAGACAGGGGGTAGGAAGGGAAACAGAGGTGCAGTGACTTGCGTAAGGTCTCAGCGCAGGTCAGTGGCAGAACCAGGAATAGAACTTGAGTCTCCTGACTTCCAGTCCAGTGACCTATCCACTGGGCCACACTGCCTCTGCCAATGGTCTGTTGCCCTTCCTGTCTCACGAACTTGCCTGATGACATCACTCTCATGTCATGCTCTAAAGGGGAAGCACAGCGTGGAAGAGAATGTGCCTGTGTATTCCCATTTCATTATTAAGGAAAGGGAGGCACAGAGCAACTAACATGATTTGCCTAATGTCACACAGAAACTCCGTGGCAGAGTCAGGAACAGAACCTAGTTCTCCTGACACCCAGTCCCAGTGCTTCCACAAGACCTTTCTTCCTCTCTCCAAAAACAGCTCTACAGCTCAGCGGGTATAAAGCTAGTTCCTGTAAAAGGTTGCACAGCAAGGGACAGATTAAGCTGATTTCTTTTCAGGAGTTCCATGTGCAAGCCAGCTACATGTGCTTCCATATCCTCTTGTGCATGTGATCCCACCAGTGCAGCATGCCGCTCAAATTTTACCGCTTCCAGAGCCTGATACAAAGCCCAGTAAATTCAGAGGGAGTCTTTCCAATGGGTTTTGGATCAAGCCCCTAATTCAACACAATTGATAGCTTTTCTATACAGCTGGAGCAGAGGTGGGCAAACTATGGCCCGCGGGCCACATCTGGCCCACGGGACCCTGCTGCCCGGCCCCTGAGCTCCTGGCCCAGGAGGCTATCCCCCCCCGCAGCCTCAGCTCACTGTGCCGCTGGCACAATGCTCTGGGCAGCGGGGCTGTGAGCTCTTGCCGCGCAGCGCAGCTGCAGAGCCCGGCTGGACCCGGTGCTCTGTGCTGCGTGGTGGTGTGGCTGGCTCCAGCCGGGCGGCTCGGCCGTAGCGCTGCCAGCCACCGGTGCTCCAGGCAGTGCAGTAAGATGGAGGAGGGGGTTGGATAGAGGGCAGGGGAGTTCCATGGGGTTGGTCAGGGGGCGGAGGTGTGGATAGGGGGCGGGAAACAGGGGGGTTGAGTGGGGGCAGGGGTCCTGGGGGGGCAGTCAGGAAGGAGGGCGGGTTGGATGGGGCCGGCAGGGGTTCTGGGGGCGGTCAGGGGACAGGGAGAATGGGTGGTTGGATGGGGCAGGGGTCCCATGGGGGCAGTCAGGAATGACAGGAGGAGTTGGATGGGGCGGCAGGAAGCAGTCGGGCGGGAGGTCTGGGGGTGGTCAGGGGACAGGGAGCAGGGGGTGGTGGATGGAGCAGGAGTCCCAGGGGAGCCATCAGGGGGCAAGAAGCAGGGGGGGTTGAATAGCCATGCCTGGCTGTTTGGGGAGGTACAGCCTCCCCTAACCGGCCCTCCATACAATTTTGGAAACCCGATGTGGCCCTCAGGCCAAAAAGTTTGCTCGCCCCTGAGTTGGAGCCATGGACTGAGCCGTACGGTAACTCACATATCACGCATGTTGTCTGAAACTCAACACCATAAGCTTCTCAAAAATTGCATGGGTTTGTTGTGAATCTCAGCTCAGTGCAATGACTATCCATCACCCCACTTGAAGTCACGGCCATGAATCTGTGCTGAAATCTCGCAACGTTCTCCTTTAACTAACTGGGGTTTTGAGCAGATTTACAGTAATTCAGAAATTGCCCTAGAGTTTCCATAGACTGATAGAATGTAACCCCAAGTGTCTTACCCATAAGAAAGGGCACCAGCGGGGACAATATTTTTTACCTGAAAAGATGTTGGGATGCAGACAATATTCAGATTCTCTCGTTTAACTCTCTCAGCTGTAGGAAGAAGCAGAAACATTAGTTTGCTCAACAACAGAGCTGGAGGAAAGTGCAACAAGCTTCACTTTAAGAAACTTTAGTTCAAACAGCCTCTTTGAAACATTCCAGTTACTTGGGCTTACCTGTATTTGCAAAGAAGAGTCAGGCACAAACTACAAACAAGTGTCATCCTGTGCTGGATAAACTGTAGCTTCTGGTGACAATCATGTTTAAACAACTTCTCTGGGTCAGCCTATGATGAAAAGGCTAATGACCCATCTCATATCGGAGCAGTAGAGCAAGCAAGAATTGTGCCCAGTCAGTAAAGAATAATTCATCACCTAGGGAATTAAATCCTATATTATACACATTTTACTGCACTCCTTGTAAACAAGAGAGCTTTAGGTGAATAATAGCAGCTGTCTGAAAGATTGTGCTGCCTCAGGGCCTCATATCACGTGTAATAAAAAGCATTTAAATATATGGTAGGGGAATGACTAATGGAGCAAAATCCAGCATTTCCATTAAAAGAATTAAATGTTTCCTCCCTCCGTGTAACCTGAAAAGATGAACATCTATTATTAAGATAATAGATGTTATTATGGACGTATTAAGATAATTCCCTAATAAATTTTGTTCACAAAATGCTACATTTCAAATTTAGGCAAATCCAACAGCCTGACTGAGTAAACATGGGTAAGTGCTACCTAATGGCAACAGGTGATGCAGGCAAACTCCTCACCTGTTCTGATCATTCAGAAAGCCCTGCTTTTGGCACGCCACTGCTCAGACATAAGCCCAAGCTCAGCAGTCTTGAAGGCCAATAGTGCTTTATAAATGTATTCATGGCTCAAAGATTTGGTTAGAATCAGAGCAGCTCTGACATTGCGCCACCATACCAGGAAGCAGAGCTTCCAAGTCCTAAAATACCTCATAAATATTAAAAACTAACATAAACTCCACCCTGGAATCAACAAGATGCAAACAATGTACACAAGTGCGCATTTCCACAATCTTAACAGTGACTTTTACTCTCTCCCATCTTCTATTACCAGTTGTGCTGTTAGGTCTCCACTTAGGTCTAGATCCTGCAAACAGCACTTGGTCAGGTGCATAATCCACTGAAGTTATAGTCAATAGATAGCGCCAAGGAGTATTCAGAGTCCTGATGGGCGGAACATCCCAAACTCTCATTTGGAACAGATGGGACCTTATGCTGCTGAGCTAACAAAAAAAACCCCCACTAACAGAGCTTGTCCAGCAGTCCCAGCTCCCCAAAGGGAACTGTTCTGTTTTATATGGGAGGCCAATAAGAGATAGCTGATTGTCCACTTTTTGTTGCCAAGACTAATTGCATTCTAGAATTAAGCGTGTTGCGAGTCCCTCCCTTCAAAAACAAGGGGCAGACCTGAGCTGACTGACTCAAAAAGATTCTAGGGCGCTTGATGAGCATATCTGACCTAAGGCTGAAAATGAGCCCTGGCCTCCTGCCCTTTGCTAACCCATAAAACACTGCTGGTACCACACACTGCACCTTGGCAAGACACAGGTATATAATTAGTCTTGTGCCCACTTGCTAAAGGGTCACATTACAATAATAGTTCGCCTACACACAGCACTTTATGGGACAAACTCTGCCCTGACTTTCACCCAGTAGAGTTGCAGGACATATGAATTACAGCAGGATTTAATGCCACATCTTCAAAGCACCATTCAAACATTAGCCTTCCCGACATCTGAGAGCTGAGTGAGTAACATTACCCCGATTTTACAAATGAGTCAACTGCTGAAGAATGGGGCAGTCCCTTAACCTAAGCCACACTGTGGGTCAGTGGCAGAGCTGGAATTAGACCTTTAGCTCCAACCTGAGCACAATTCAGGAGACTGGACTGTCTGGCAAGAGCAGAGCAGAGCAGAGCTCAACTCTAATAAAAGCTGCAGACCAACAAACTCATTAATTCTTGGTGACGACCTTTACAATGAAACTGAGGCACGAGTACAGGCTTTACTTTCTGCCTCAGATCGAATGTGCTGACCAATCAACACACCCAAGGTTTTTAACTGCAAGTCAGCTGTTTATCCAGCAGGCAGGCAGGCAGGCAGGCAGGCAGGCATTACATTTCACTTCTCCACACTAGCGTTCCAATTAGCTGGGGCTGCTGGAACAGAGGATTTTCCTTCGGATGGAACCAACGTTATTACCATACCTAGTCGATGGACAGCAGGGACAATTGTAGAGCCGCTTCCAATTCCAAGGACTTGGTTATTCTGCAAACCAGAAAAAGAGAGAAGCATGTTTTCATAGCACATTATGGAGGGCTCCAATACTGGGTGAACATATGTCCCATTTTGGCTCAGACAATCCCCTTTATAAACTCTGTCCCAGATGTCCCGACTTTTTTGCCAAAACTGGGCATTTGTCCCATTTGCTCTTGTGGCAGGGCTCGGGCGACAAACTCGCAAGAGCAAACGGGACAAATGTCTAGGAAAAACTAGAAGGACAGATCCATTTGGAGCATACAGGAGCCTGACTAATCCTTCAAAGGAGTAGAGAAAGGTCAGCTCCAAAAACATGGTAGTCCTTTGGATGAAGGGATATAATAATGTAGATTACAGAGGGGTTAAGAATGCCGGGGAAACACTTCCCACAATACCAGCATTGAAAACCTTCCTGAGGCTTGGGATAAAGGCTCGCTCCTACTGTGTTTCCTTTTCACCCTGGATTTTTGATGCAGCCCCTTCCTTTAAACTAGCCTCTCTGTTTACAAACCCTGGTTCTGGTGTAGAGCAGTTCTTTGCCTCCAGCAGATGTGCCTCTTCTCCCCCACCCACACCAGAGAAACCAACTAACAGTGCACCTTCTCTGCCTGCCTATTACTCTGCACGACAGTTGCAGCCTTCAGAGGTTGCCACAGCAGGGGAGGAAGTTGAAACCATTTGATGTTGTGTTTCAAGGAAACCACACAGTGAAATACTGTTGCTGGGAACAATATCGCTCGTAAACAGTACTGCTGCCCAAAGCAAGAAATGCAAGAGCATATACCCTGAAGCAGAGTACCAGGCCACCCCGTCCCTCACACTCAGAAGTCAGATCCTGTCTGCTCTGTAGACACATGGTGTAACTGAGTCCAAGTCCTGCTCCACAAGAGCCCCCTGATGCATTTAAAACAGGATTTTAGTCTTTCAGCATAGAGGAGTTTTAACTGCATAGCCCCAGGTTTTCCAGGATGGTAGCCTGGTTCAGGAGCATGTTTAAGACCATTCAGTCTCATCTACACATTACTGTATGATACATTTAGACACATGGGGAGGTGGAGTGGATAGGCACTAGCATGTTACAATGGCATTCTCTGCACTGTGGATCCACTTCTTATATTTACCTATCACCTGGGTATCTAAGTGTTGATGGGATCGAACTGCATCCCATGCATACTTCTGTGCTGTTCATATAGGAGCAACTTCCTCAGCCAGAGTAAAAAGCTTCAGTTCACTTGCGGAACTGTGCTAGTACCGGGAAAAGAATCACAAAACGTTAGCTCAAGATTTTACTATAATAGACGCTAAGAGTTACGAACACCTCAGGAACGGAGGCTGTTCGTAACTCTGAACAAAATGTTATGGTGGTTCTTTCAAAAGCTTACAACTGAACATTGACTTAATACAGCTTTGAAACTTTACTATGCAGAAGAAAAATGCTGCTTTCCCTTTACTTTTTAGTAGTTTACATTTAACACAGTACTGTATTGTACTTGCTTTTGGGGGGGGGAAGAGGGGGTTTCTGCTGCTGCCTGATTGTGTATTTCCAATTTCAAATGAAGTGTGTGGATGACTGATCAGTTCATAACTCTGGTATTTGTAACTCTGAGGTTCTACTGCATTTAGCCACACTCCCCAAATAAGTTCATCCACAAGGTGTCACTACTTGGCCCTTACATATTACCTAATGAGCAGTTTAATGTTTCTTAGGCCTGGTCTACACTAAAAAGTCAGATCAACTCAGCTATGTTGCTCAGAGGTATGAAAAATCCACACCCATAAGTGCCATAGCTAAGCCAACCTAAGACCTAACCCTCAGTGCAGAATTCTTCCGTCGACCTACCTACCGTCTCTCGGGAGGCGGATTAACAAGAAATGGGAGAACCCCTCCCATCACTGTAACGAGTATCTACACTGAATCACTACAGCAGTGCAGCTGCAACTGTGCTGCTGTAGCGTTTCAAGTGTAGACAAGCCTTAGACAAGTGTAGACTTTGTCAAGTGTAGACAAAATCACTGAATTACACATCAAGCAGCCTCCTGTGGCTGATGCTTTGACTGGAGTTGAACAGCTCTGGATGGAGCTAGCTTCCTTTGGCGAGTGGGAGCATTGTTGCAGTGTAAGCTTGATTGAGAAGGAAAAGGGTAAAGCAGATCAATCCCCCAGAAGGGTTAAGGACTTAACTTGCCCCTTAAGTGACACTGACAAAAAGTTTAACTCTTTAAATCTGGCCCAAGTTTGGGAGCTCCCACATTATCCCAGCCTACCCCCACAAACCCACCAGAGATTGTCTGCCATGACTCTTCCTGAAGAGGAATCACATCTCTATGTTCCCAGGGTTGCCAGCGACGCCATAAAAATGGAAGAGACTCATTCTCCTAAGTTCTTCCCGCTGGGGGGTGGGTCGTGTAAGGCCAAGACACAATGAAGCTTCACTGCTCCCAGGGAAGATCAAGGTCAAGAACAGGAGAAGGAGGAGACAGACAGGGAGCTCCAGCCTGCCTACAACAATCTAGGTAAGACAAAACATACATGCTCTTGTCTAGACTAGGGATACGTCTTCACTGCCCCCCCAGAAGGTGTGCTTTTAAAGCAGGATAACTAATGTGCATTAGCTGCACTGCTGTAAAACCCCAGTGGAGCCAAGGCACTGGTAGTTTTTACTATGACGTAGGCAGATAAGGTAAACAACAAGTAAGGGCAGGGTAGAGTGTTAATAGTGAAGACAGAGCTAGCACCTTCCAAGTCCTAGACTAACATGTTAACTGCTTAGTGTAAACAAGGCAGTGTACCTTTAACATTAAACTGTCAGATTTGAACATGGTGTTAAGGCACACTGCTCTGTCTACACGAGCTTGTTAGCATGTGCTAACTAACATCTTCCAAATCCTAGGGCTCGTCTACACTAGGAACTTACACTGGTGTAGCTATGTCTCTGAGGGGTGTGAAAAATCCACACCATTGAGAGATGCAGCTATACCAACCTACCACCTGGTGTTCTTCCATCGACCTACCGAATGCCTCTTGGGGAGGTGGATTATCTACACTGCTCGGAGAACCCCTTGTGTCGGTTTAGGTAGTGTGTCTACACTGTAGTGTTTCAAGTGTAGACAAGCCCCTAGTCTAGACAAGACCTAAGAAAGGAAAAACTGGGAAATCACAAAGGATCCCATTCTCCAACAAAGGTCAGAAACAAGGGGGGGGAATGTGCGGAAATAAAGCGTACAAATCCCAAAGAGATTTATTAAAGCTTTTTTTGTCTCACTTCCCCAACTGTAAAACAGGGATAATACTTTATCTTCCATCCTTTGTCTGTCTTCTCTGTTTGTTTGCAATGTTGTTGTAGCCCTGTTGGTTCTAGGACATGAGAGAGAGACGAGAGAGAGTAACATCTTTTACTGGACCAACTTCTATTGGTGGAAGGGACAACTTTCAAGCTTTACAGAGCTCTTCTTCAGGTCTGGAGAAGGTAATCAGAATGTCTCCGCTAAATATAAGATAGAACAGATCATTAAGCATAAGGGTTCACATATGCTGAATTAGACCACTTCAAATGCAACTGCCAACTGAGGGTTAGCAGACAGTAGGGTGTTTTGGCAGGGTCTGGTGCTACTTTGAGTTGCTGTGTCTTGGTCTGTGGGGAACTTGCTTCTGATGATGTGCTTAGTGAAACTGAGGAGTTGTTTGAAGGCCAGAAGAGGGAGTTTGTGAATGATTTCTTTCAGAGTGTGGTCCCCATCAAACACAGTTTGTAAATGTTTGATGAGATCCCCTATGTCACCTACCACTGGATTCCAACTAGAGAGCATGGTCAGCAGGGTTTTTTTTTCCTGTACTGAAGCAGGTTCTCCCGGGGTATTTCGGTGGCCACTTCAAAGATGCAATGTACTTCTCTGGTGGAGTTTCCTTGTTTAGTGAAGGCAGCCTTAAGTGTGTTTAGATGTATATCCAGGACTTCCTCTTCGGAGCAAATTCTGTAGCATCTGAGTGCTTGCCTGTAGATAACAGTTTTTTCTGATGTGTCTGGGGTGGTTGATGGAACTGTGCAGATAATGCGGTGATTGTAGGGTTTTTGTATATAGTAAATTGCAGGGTTCCACTTTTTAATCGAATCGTGGTGTCCTTGGAGTTGATCTTGGTGTGGGAGTGTTCTAGAGAGAGTTGGATGGATGGGTGGTGGTTGTTGAAGTTGTGGTGAAAATCTATAAAGAAGTTTAGGTCATCCATCCAGAGGATGAAAATGATGAGGGGTATGGAACTATTTCCATATAAGGAGAGGATAAAAAGACTGGAACTACTAAGGGGAGACTGATTAATAGAGCTCTATCAAATCGTGAATGGGGTGGAGACAGTGAATGGGGAAGTGTTATTTTACCCTTCACATAACACAAGAATGAGAGGTCACCCAGTGAAATTAGTAGACAGCAGGTTTAAAACAAACGTAAGGATATACTTCTTCACACAACACACAACCTGTAGAACTTGTTGCCAGAGGATGTTGTTCTTCCTATGCCAGTCTATGGGAATTGCTTCATCATGCTGTTGCTGAATCAATCAGCAGATAGCACATTCCTGACGGCTCCGTGCTGCTAGATGTTATCTTGTTCTTTGGTTCTCCCATTCTTGAGGCTGTTGGGTGGATTCCAGTCTGCCCTCCGGGGGTCCTCTGGTTATTTCCACTTGACGCCTTCTTCAGCCGATGGACACTGGATTCTTAGGCTGGCACCTCCCTGATCATTCAGTTATTATCCACACCAAGCATCCATCTACATACATCCTCTATCTCTATTTTAATCACAATTGTTAACACAACAAAAGGGCGGGGAGTCTCTGGGTGCTGTTTCTGTTGTTAGAGTATTGCTTTGAGTCTCTCTCTCTCTGTGAATTGCTTTGAGAACAGACTCTGTCTTAGAATGTACTAACACAATTAGCAGCTTGCAAGTTTCACACATAGAGGGAGAGAAACAGTACCAAAAAACAAGAGACCTCTTAATTAGTAATACCCTGGAATTTAAACTATGAGGAATCAAACTCATTTGTGATTTTAATACAGAACTTCTTTAATATGATCCAACAGATGGATCATTAGCCTGACCCAGTATGGCCCTTCTTTTGTTCTTAAATGTGAAGTTGTGGAGGGTAAGGATGAAATGGATACATTTAGTGTCATGTATAGAGTGTTTTGGGTGGCTTTCCAAGTGCTTCACTTCATCTTGTAGGTATCAAGGCAGGCAGCGATGCCATCACGGTGAGGGATGTTGGTGTACAGGGAGGCGATATCCATGATGTCAAGTGTGGTGTTCTGGAGAGATTGTTAATGTTGTGGAGTTCTGGAGGAAGCTGGTAGTGTCTTGGAGGAAGATGGCCCTTTATGCTGCAGCTACGCCGCTATAGAGTAGATACTTCTACATTGGCAGAAAGGGTTTTTCCATCAATGTAGTTAATCTACTTCTCTGAGAGGCAATAGCTAGGTTGATGGAAGAATTCTTCTGTCAGCCTGGCCATGTCTGCACCAGGGACTAGGTCAGCCTAACCATGGCACTCAGGGCATGACATTTTTCACAGCCCTGAATGAGGCAGGTATGTTGATCTAATTTTTAAGTATAGACTATGTCCCAGTTATGGATCAGGACCCTGTTGTGCGAGTGCTGTACAAACACTAAACAAAAATAAGATCTCTGCCACAAAGAGCTGACAAATCTAAGGCCCTGATCCTGCAAAATACACATGCTTGATTTTATTAGCATAAGTAGTAATCAAAGCTAAGCATGTGTGTGTCTGTAGGATCAGGGCGTATGATGATTGTAAGTTCTGCAGGGCAAGGATCATCTTTCACTAGGTGTACATTCAGTGCTTAGCACAACTGGGCTCCTGTCTCAGGGGGCCCTGCCCCTAGGCACTACTGTAATATGAATAAATAATAATAGGAATGAGGAAGTGTGTTGCTTAGTGCTGGGAGACTAATTAACAGTGACAACTACACTGGCAGCTGCAATGTCCAAAAATACAACTACCCCTTAAAATGCTGCGCTCTCTGCTTCGGATGTGAAAAGATCAGTGAAAGGAAGAACAGAGGGGATTTTCCCCAATAGCCAAAACCATCTAACACCCATGCAATGAATCCTACCAGTTTATTTACTACTGTTTACAAAAGACTTAAGAAGCAACTACTACAAAATTAAACAAGGCCACAACCTGTCTTACTTTGCGAGCTAAGTCAGACCGTGTATTTTAACCAGGTACAAGGGAAGACAGAAAAGCCTTGAGAGCTTTCCTGGACACAGAACAAATAGTTGTTTTTACATTCTTAACTGTATTCCTTTCTCACTTTAAAAGGACAACAGTTAAGTGTTCTATTTTACCAGAATAAAAAGCATGCTTAGTACACGGAAGTCTCAACTCTATGACAGCATAGACCTTCGCTCCACAGTTCTGATTAGCTGGAGGATTTTGTTTTCAAACTGATTGAGGCTCAGTGTGTTCCGGACAGGCTTGTACCAAAAACAGATCTAGAGATCCTATGTGATTTTCAATGGGTCACTTAACTGCTCAGCCTCGATTTCCCTATCGGTAGAATGTGGATAATACTTTACTAATTCACAGCACAGTTGGTCATTAAAGTCTGTGTCGTGCGCAATGACCAGCTTAGAAATGCCAATCCAGCTCAGCAAGGGCCATCAGAGTACTGGAAGTTTGTTATCTGGCCCCAACTTGTATGGCAGTTAGTTTAGTTTATTTTGAAATCTGCTATGAAAATGAAAAATATTAGCATGGCTCACTGAAAAAGAGATCAACCAAAATCGTCATTGATAGAGAGCAGTAGGCATATGCTGTGCCCTGTGCAACAGACAACTTGTACCAAGCAAGGAATGGAAAACTGTCCCTCATAAAAGGCACAAAACTGAAAGGGGTTTTTGTTGTATGCAGTGTAGCTGCAGTCATGTGGGTCCCGAGATATTAGATAGGGTTTTGTTAATACCCTTAAAAAGCAAGGGGAAAAAAGACTCCTTCACGGACAGTGAGGCTTGGCGGCAACCCTGCAAGCACAAGTGCAACAGGCACGTGGCCAGAGCTGGGTCAAACTATGCCATCTCCCCCCCCCCAAAAAAAAAAAAGCTTGGAAGCTGCAAGGGCAGAACCCCAGGGCAGCAAAATCCCCAGCCTCTCTGCACACAGGCGCGTGTTAAAGTGCATGATTACTGGCATATTCACTTGGACAGGCACGATGCAAAACATTTTGCTTGGGGGTCGGGGGGGGGGGGGCAGAGGCCACTTTTACAACTCTCGGGGGGCTGGGGGGGGGGTTGATGCAGCCCGCCCAGACGAATGGAAGCCGCTGCAAACCCCGGGGGCCGCCCTTTGCAGAGACGGGGGAGGGGGGTGGGGTCTTTCGAGGGTCCCCCGCTCACCTTCACGTGGTTATCGACAGCTGCCCAGGCGGCCACCCTCTTCGCCTCCTCGGACATGTCGCTGCGGCTGCCGAGCGGCCTGCGCGCTGGCAACGGCAGGTGCGGAAGGGCCCGGCTCGCCCTCGCCCTCGCTCCGCCTGGGGGCAGCGCACCCAGCAGCGCCCCGGCCAGCCGCCTCCCGCGCCGCATAGCGACCCCGCCCCCCCGCCCGCCTCCTCCGCCCCCTGGGCCGCCGGGGCTGCCCCACGCGCGCGCGGGAAGCCGGGGAAGGCGGCGGCGGCGGGCGGCGGGCTGGGCTGGCCTGGCCCGGCCCGGCGGCGGCTGGGAGTTGTAGTGCCGCCGGCTGGGGGGGGTGCAAGGGCTGGGGAGCGGGGGGAACTACAGCTCCCACCATGCAGCCCGCCTGCCCCAAGCGGGCTGGCCGGGGAGCGGCTCCGTGCCCGCTGGGTTGGGCTGCTGCTGGGGAGGGCCAGTCCTGGGAGGGGAGCCCCCCCCCCCCCCCTACCCCTTCCCCGGGGTGAACCTCGGGGCTGAAGCCGTGCCCCAGGGGTGGATGGGACGAGCGGCCCGGGGAGCCTGCCCCCTGGCGAGCGGCACAGCGCCGGTGGCGCCTGTCCCGTGTGCTGTCGGGGAGCCCCGGTGCTGCGAGGAAGGAATCAGGGTGTCAAGGCCGCGCATGAGTTCGCGTGGCTACACTCTGCCGCCTTCTCCTTCCCCTGCGCGCTGCTGGTGGGTACATTCCTTTCCCTGCACCCTGGACTGCTGTGTGAAACCCTGTAACTCCAGGTTTCAGAGGAGCAGCCCTGTTAGTCTGTATCCGCAAGAAGAAAAGGAGGACTTGTGGCACCTTAGAGACTAACAAACTCCAGTTTACCCTCAGTTCCCTTTATCTGAAAAATCCTAGTTCCCTGGAACCACAGTGGGCCCCCCTGCAGCCCTATGTTCGGCCATGGCTCCACTTCAGCTGCTGTAGTGGTCTGCAGCGTCCATGCTTCCTACATCCCTGTGAGGGGGTTTTCCATCTGTGTAGTTTTAATCCACCTCTCCAAGAGGCAGTGCCTTGGGTTCACAGAAGACTTCTTCCCTGGACTTTGCTGCATCTACACTGAGGGTTAGGCGACCTAATTACAGAGCTCAGGCTGCAAAATGTTTCACAGCCCTAAGTGATGTAGCTAGGTCGATCCGATTTCTTAAGTGTAGACCAGGCTTTAGTTAATTAGTTAGTTCTTTTTATCTGAACAGCCAGTTATCCAAAAGTCTCAGATCTCCTCCTGCCAGTGGGAACATGACATAACTTTGTTAAATCTACGTTAAAAATACTTGAGACTAGGGGTAGCATTTTCAAGAGTGCCTTAGTGATTTAAGCACCTAAATCATATTGAAAGTTGATATTGTTTAGGCATCTAAATCCCTTAGGAACTGTTGAACAATTTTAGCCTAGGTCACTCCCTAGTTTGATCACCATTTAGTCTACCAATGTTTTAAAAACTTTTAAATAAATTTATATGCTCCAACCATTTTGGCAATACAACCTTGCGAGATGGAAGTTTTAACATGTTGCTGCTTTTCCAGTGCAGATAGGGTCTAGACACCAAGACGGGGTGCTGTGTCCCAGCTTAGTGGGAGATCCTTATATCAAAACACTGAGATGCAGTAAGAAGAAAAGGAGTACTTGTGGCACCTTAGAGACTAACCAATTTATTTGAGCATGAGCTTTCGTGAGCTGTAGCTCACGAAAGCTCATGCTCAAATAAATTGGTTAGTCTCTAAGGTGCCACAAGTACTCCTTTTCTTTTTGCGAATACAGACTAACACGGCTGTTCCTCTGAAACCTGAGATGCAGTAGTGAGGCACGTGACTATAAGCTTTCCTGAACGTGTTGGGACTTGTATCCACACATCGTTGACCAAAGTTGTACAGCCCCGTCCTAGGATGCATGGGGTTCGCTATAAAGTCTAATATGGGTTTTCAGGCAGTGAAGGTGCGCGGGAGGAGGGAATCTTTTTTGTTGTTGTTGTTTTTCCTAAATCCTGGCCAAGAATCCAGGAAACTAGAGGGGAGGCGGTCATTGATATTTAAGGACAAAATTTCATAGACCAAAATTTTCAGTCTTGGGTGCTTAAAATTAGGCTTCTAAATCCATATTTAGGCATTTAAATAAAAGTGGCCTGGTTCTCAGAGGTGCTGAGCACCTACAAATCCTACTGAAGTTAATGGGAGCTGCTGGTGCTCAGCAGCACTTTTGAAAAATTCAGCCCACAAGAGACTAGAGAACATCCATTCACTTTGGTTCTGATAACGAAAAAGCCTCTGTTGCTTTTTTAACTTTCTATACTTCACTGATGTGCCTCAGTGCTTCTTGACGTACCTCGGAGCTTGTGGTGAGAACTTTCCACAATGCTGCTGTGATTTTTAGGGACTCGAAATAATCCCCTTTGTCATGGCTCACCGGGCAATGCTGGAGCGCCGGTCTTCAAACAATGGGGCATTCTTCCAGCAGAGCCTCTTTTGTCCAGAAATCAAACTTGGTTGATCCAAGCCAGCCTTCCTTTATGCAAGCTGTCAGTGACTTGCTATTAAGGAGTCAGTATGTGAAAAAGGCTGGACTTTTCTACTAGCTGCAAGAGACCTTTTCTAGTGAATTGTGCGCTGCCTGCAGAATAGTCTATTTTATAGTGCAAATCCACACATGGAATGCAATTTCTATCAGAAAAAGCCAGCTACCAAAAATCATTTTCTTCCATGTTTGATTTAGTGAGCTTGGTGTTTGGGCTGCTGCTATCCATAACAGGTGTGACTGCTCCCTGAGACAACAGCAGCATGCCTTCAGTTCTGGAGTGTCAGCACCGATTCAGGAAAGCTCTTTAAACACAGGCTTAGTTATAAGCAGGTGCTTCAATCCCAATGACTTCAATGGGACTTGCGGTTAAGCGTGTCCTTAAGTGCTGTGCTGAACTGTGGTCTTGATGGTGATAGAAAACTGAAGCAAAATACAAAATACTGGGGCCTGATTTTTATCCCTGCATCAGTCATTGAAGGGTCTGGCTTCAAGAATGTCTCAATGTGTATTGTGCTGAAGGAACACAAATACTACAGCTACAGAGAAAGGACATCTGCCAGCCTTTTCAATCAACATCTTCACTGAAGTGCAGGATAGGTTGGATTTGAGTGGATGCTGACCGATATAATCTTTCCTAAACTATCTGTATTTATGATAAGCAAATAGTTTGTGATGTAGCTTCACCAGTGCAAAGCTACGCTTGAAAAGCGACAGCAGCATAAGCTGTAGTGCTGCAGTTGTGTCACTAGAGCAGTTCAGTGTAGACGCTACCTGTGTTGATGCCCATTGCTGTAGTTAAGCCACCTCAAGAGGTGGTTGCTAGGGTGACAGAATTCTTCCCTGACCTAGTGCTGTCTGCACCTGAGGTTAGTTCAGCCTAAGTACATCGTTCCCGGGTGTGGATTTTTTACACTACTGAGAGACGTAGCTAGGTCAACCTAATTTTTTTAGTGTAGATCAGGCTCAAGTGTAGACAAGGAAAGCCAGGACTGTGGTGTTACCCTGTTTTCAAGCAGGAGAGAGCATCTCCTACGCAAATTGCAGCTTTCCTTGTATATGCTTAGGGCTTGAACTAGTGCGACTCCATCGATGGCTGGCCATTGACTGCTGGGATCAGGGCAAATTCCCAAGGTAGACAAAGGCCTGAGTTTGTAACCTCACCAGAGAACATAGTTATGGCTTGGTTTACACTAAAAAGTTAGGATGACCCAGCTACATTGCCCAGGGGTGTGAAAAATCCACACCCTCTGAGTGACATAGTTAAGCCGACCTCACCCCCAGCCTAGACAGCGCTAGGTCAACAGAAGACTTCTTCCATCAACCTAGCTACCACCTCTCAGGGAGGTGGATTAACTACACCAACAGGAGAATCCCACCTGCCAATATAGGCAGTGGCTATACTGAAGCACTACAGTGGTACAACTGCAGTGTTTCAAATGTAGATAATCTCTAAGACTCACAGGGTTGTCCGTTCACTTGAATTTATCACAAGTCTCATGCTGTTGAGTGCTTTCCTTAAAGCCCCAGCTCCTGGGATCATTTTGTTACACTAGACTCTCAGCTCTCTCTTTTTTTTAAAAAAAAAAAAGCAAGTTTCTAGTGTGGTTGCAGAGAAGAGCTTAAAAATATGAATCCCAAAGGTTCAAAACCCAGAAGGCAAATAAAAAGAAACCAATGTTAATAGGCAGCAGGTTTAAAATAAATAAAAAGAAGTACTTTTTTTTTACACTATGTACAGTCAGCCTGTGAAACTAATTGCCATAGGGTTGTGAAGGCCAAAAGTATCACTGGGTTCAAAAAAAGAATTAGATAAGTTCACAGAGCATAAGTTAATCAATGACTATTAGCTAAAATGGTCAGGGGGACAACCCCGTGCTCTGGGTGTTCGTAAACCTCCAACTGCTGGAAGCTGCGACAGAGGGTGGATCACTCAGAACTGTCCTGTTCATTGCTCTGAAACACCTGGCACTGGCCACTATCAGAGACAGGACACTGGGCTAGAGGGACCATCGGTCTGATCCATTATGTCAGTTTTATGTTCTTATGTCACTTGTATTGTGGGTTTTTTTTTAATCTCATGATTTTTAAACCAGTCTCAGGATTGCTGGAGGTCAGATGCATGATTTTTGATTTTAGGGTTGGTAATATTATACTCAGTTAGTATCCATGTGTCACTCCTGCTAGCAGTTAAGCTGGGACATGGTTTATCCTTCTGTGATTAGTAGGTGCACTTTATTTTTCAGTGTGGACAGACCTGTTTGACCATGTTTGTGTAACCATCTAAGTGGCACTCCTTCCTCCGAGCTGTTTGTGCGGTAGGGCATCTCAGAGCGCCTGGACCCACATGTTGTAGGAGCATCCCAACTCTACCCCTTGCAGAGGCATTATGGAGTAGCTATCCAGACATCACAATGCAGTAATACCAATATCGTAATGCAGCAAGTTAGGCATGGATGCATAAATGTGGTGGTGTTGTGAAAGAAAAGCTACTGTACAGATATAGCTTAATTGTATTTGTTTAGCTCTGGTTAGATTCGTTTATACCAATGTACAAATTATACATTGTAAGGGACTGGGCCCAAACCAATGCACGACACAAGCACAAGGGAAGGCTTGCTGTTTTTGAACTTTTCCCCCCCTTGAGTTCCAGCCAAACCCATCTCTATTTGAAAGTGGCTAAAGTTCCTTTTGTAAGATCATGTGCTTGGCTGACACTCAGAAAAT